GGTAAAAACCGCTAAGCTAGGCCTCTTCATTGCTAAATCACCCACCACTGATGTAACTCAACTGCATATATTTGCTTGAAATATTTCAGGGTGAATATTCACAAACATAAAATATAGCGATCAAACCTGTCTGCCATATTGTTTGAAAAGCCAAAATACTTGTCCCCATCAAGCTGATCAAATAAATATATATACTATAGCAGTGGTCGGCAAACTTTATGTACTAGCGAGCCAAATATACAAATTTCCAGTAGCGTGCGGGCCGCATTAGTTTCATTCATGAACAATGGCTACAATAAACCTCAAATTATGGTGCACTCTCAATCCCATTTTTCTGTTAAACACCTGTTATACTGAAACGTGTATGTGAATGTTTATATTGATTATAAAAACACAATGCATTGTTTATACATTGTTATGGTCAATGGGAAGGATGGTGTTGTTTTTGCGTGATGGCCAAAGCTTTAAAATCAACTGGCAACTTTGTTGACGATGTCTGCAGTACATCGTTTAAATGGCGATCCGACAATCGAGTACGAAGTTTATTCTTTGTGTAATTCATTTTGGAAAAGAGCTGCTCACAGCAATATGTGCTTCCAAACATGCACATTACACGTTTTGCATTGTCATGCAGATGTGGATAATTGAACTTCTGGACATTTTCTCTATAAAAGTTGGCGATCGGAACTGAATCGTATTTTACCTTTGAGATATCGGATGATTGAAGTTCAATTAGTTTCATTTGCATTTCATGTGGCACAGTCGGTTCCATTACATTTGAACCCACGTACATTTGAACCCATGACAATTGCACCTGTATGCTATTGCACCTATGGAATTTTTTTAGTTTTTCGGATAGTTGAACTCATACTAACCCTAACCCATGGGTTTTAGCACCCGCATATAGATTGAACCCGTGGATATACACATGGGTTCAAATGTACGGTCACCGGCACAGTCAACTGAAAATGGCATGGCAAATAAATCGAATTTGTCCTTCTGATTTTTCATATCCAAAAATCGAGATTCAAGTTGAGTTTTAGTTGTAACGGTTACTGATAAGTACTTATCCGAGTTAGCAGGTTTGCAGCGGCTCAATTTGGGTAAATGAGCAAAGTTGGAATTGATGAGTTGAGTTTCCCAGAGACGCAGCTTGTTTATGAAGGCAGTAATATAATCATACATTCGATTAATAAATTGTCCCTTTTCTTGCAGTTGTAAGTTAAAATTTTTCATGTGAAATCCGTGAGAAAGGCTAAATTTGTTAACCAATCAGAATCACCAAGTTCTGCAACACCAAAACCTGCATTTTTTGTTTTAAAAAGGTCACAATTTCGTTCCGCAAATCATAGAACCGTTGTAACATAGCACCGCGACTTAGCCATCTAACTTCAAAAAAAATAGACTAAATCATGATGCTGAGCACTCATTTCTTCTAGAAAATTTTTGCATTGGCGGTTGTTAAGGCCTCTTGCCAAAATAAAGTTTATGATTTTAGCAACAGTAGACATTAAAGCCGCCATATTTAAATGTGTCACCTTGGATGCAAGAACTTCCTGATGAATTATGCATTGTAATTTAACAATTGTGTTGGAAAGGCCCAACGAAGTTAAGTGATTTTGTAAAACGGCAATTGCACCTTTGTGAGAGCCAACCATAGCTGGGGCACCATCGGTAGTAGCAGAAATGAGTTTGGACAGATCAAGCTGCATTCTACCGGTACATTCTAATATCGCTTGGGCTATGTCCTCTCCCCGTGTAGTACCTTTCATCGGAATCAATTCGGCATACTCCTCAATTACATCCAAATTATCTGTGATACCGCGGATAAAAATAATCGAAATCAACAGTTCTGTTTTTGAGTTGCAATTTAAGATTTTCAGAGATGATTTCCACTTTGCGAGTAACTGTTTTGGCATATAACGGAATACTGTGAAACAGGAGTTTCTTCTCAGGACAAACTTCGTTAACGATGGCTAATGTGCATTCTTTAATATACTGGGCATCAGTAAATGGTTTCATTCGTTTAGCGATGATCGAACTAACAACCAATGCTGCCTTTGTAACTGATTCACTTTCTTCTTGTTTTTTCTTTAAAAAAAAACAGTTTGATGTTCAAGACCACTTTTTAGATTTTTTATCTTTAATTTTCTCCTTTCACATATTCTACGTATTTGCTATGACACGTTTCGTAGTGACGCTTAATATTAAATTCCTCCATCACTGCGATGCTGGTTTGACATATTAAGCAAACAGGGTTTGAATAATGCTCAACAAAGAAATATTTTCCTGTCCAGGCACTTTGGAATATTCGACCTTCGTCATACACTTTCCTGCATTTCTCACACATTTGATGCCAAGTTTAAAAATCGAAATAATCTAAACTGATAATTACAACTAACGACAGCTTCGGCAGGTAAACGAATTGCAACTGACATGTGCTTCACTTACGCTACATACTACAAAAATGTCGTACGAAACGTTACAGAAATAAATTTGTCTTACTGTGCAACAGGACTCAACAGTTAAAAGCGAGGTTGGCAATACCAAAAATTTCCCATGAATATTGTTGCTGTTCCAAATTTCAATAACTACTTCGTAGTCTGAGAATGATAACTGGAAATAATTAATAAATTTCATTACAATCATGGATTATTTATGAGCGAAAACGCTCAAACATATATCAAATACCGCAACTTTATTGATTGTCTCAGACTCTCAGATGAAAACATTTTATCTATTGAAATTTTGCGAAAAACTAGCAGATCTTTGAAAGCAATTGACGGGAGAAAACTGATTTACTTCTCTCCAAAATATTTTTGTTAAAAATGAGTCTATCATGTTGACTTTTTCGTGAACTTCGCTACCACTATTATTAAGTAGATTTCGATGGCCTATAATGAGGAGAAAAATATTATTTCAGTAAATCATATGCAAATTTATTGCAGCAACTTCCTATCATCAATTACTATAATCAATTTATCCGTATTCAGCTACAAAGATATGTACTTTGTCAAAAATCTAACATTTGCTTGGCAGTTGGCATAATCGCCTAGCCCTAAATCATTTGTAAATGAGCAAAAAAGAGATTTTAATGAAATGAATCCCTTAAATCAGATTTTGCGCTCACCATGTGTCGCAATTATTATCGCCGGTAAATTATTATCATCCGACTCAGGCAAACGAATAGCCTTTGCATTCGAGGTTTTTGGACACGTAGTGGACATAACGATCGTTTCAATATTATGTTGTTCTTGTTCTTTGACACGTTTTTAAAAAGTCGCTTTTCTCTTCGAATACTGGACCAATTGCTTTGAAATTTTCAGTGGTTAAAGATTAATTTTTTCGCTAGAAGGCTATTACTTTTGTTTATTCTTAAATTTTATATGAATCCTATGAGATATGATATTTCATACAAAATTTCGCGGTATTTATTTTTACTCATGGGAACACTGTTTTACACTTATTTCAAGCGGTTTCGCGATCGATTGTCTTGCTCAGTACTACAGCTACTGTAGGTCGGTACTGGTAAGTTGCCATACAGGTACCGTAACGCAGTGAAATTGACTTATTCCTTCCGCGGTATTACTAATGCTGCAATGCAAGTTTTATAGCCTATCGTATGCGGAACGGAATATCAGACCTACAGGTTCGGTACCGGTACTGGTAGCTCAGTACGTAAGTACGATACTGGTACTGGTGCCGGTACCGGTGTCTTACCACAATGAAATTACCGTAACTTATTCTTTCACGGTCCTACCAGTGCAGTAATGCAAGCGTTGTAGCACTTGTAGCCTACTATATTTGTTTATTTTGATGAGAGTCTACTGGAAACAACATAAAATTTGAAAGGGAAGAATTGTTCTGGGATCAATTATCTGTCCTAAAGTGTAAACAACATAAAATTTGCAAGGGAACAACTGTTCTGTGATCAATTACCGTATATGGCCTACAGTGTACAGGTAAGATGCTGCCTGGCTGCTAACTCAGTACCGCTTGACACGTTTTTAAAAAGTCGCTTTTCTCTTCGAATACTGGACCAATTGCTTTGAAATTTTTAGTGGTTAAAGATAAAAATTTTCTCCAGAAGGCTATTACTTTTTTTTTTGCTATGACGTCATCAAAATTATGTGACTCTACGTGTCCATATATTTGAGCATAGCTCTCTTGTTTTCCTATCAGAACAATTAAAATTGCTTAGAAATCTCTAAAAAATCCAATCTAGCCAATAAACAAGGGCAGTTACCACATTAAATGAGCATTAAGTACAATTGGGGTAAATTTGGTAATTACCTATCCTAAAAAGCGCAAATGACGATGAGAAAATTTGTCGCAATTCGAAACTTATTGAATAAAAATTTTGCGTTTGAAGTTTTAATTCGGAAGTGTTGCCCATCATCATGTCACTACTTATCAGCCCCTCATCAAACTTCTCTGACGAAACTTCATCCACCTATAATTCAAATATATCATTCATATTGGCATGTAATGAATCAAATGTACAAGTAGGAAAATACTGAAATGAAGCATTCTTTTACCCATGAATTGAATTGAAGTCAGAAATCAAACAAAACGACAGACAAAAATCAATTACCGAATCACTTTGCAAAGAAACTTTGTAATCGGTAGTACGAAGTAGACGCCGGTGTCGGCGATAGAAGTTTCTTTTCAGTTGATAATATTTTGAACGCTGTTCTCCTTTGTGTTCCGACCTGCTAATTTTTATCGATAATTGCTTTTCTGTTTTGACGCGAGTTTCGCGGGCTTTACTGCATCTGACGTGTCACGCGTGGCTCTTGCATCTCGACTTTACGCGTCGTAGGACGTTCTCGTTTAATCTTGTTATGATGTTAGTGGTGTGGTTTCGCATTATCCGCTTTATTGACTTAGCGTGTGGGTGGCTTTTGGTCTCGTTAGGTAGACCTGTGGTGAAGGTATCGTAACCGGGGCCCCATATGACCATCGTCGTCATTTATTGCTTTAATTGTTCATGTATTTATATTTCATTCTTATTAACTGCTTTCTAAATTTAGTTGCTATTTTTATGCCAATAACGTTATCGTTCACGTTTCCTGTCAGTTTCTTGTCGATTTAGGCCTTTGGAGCGTTATCATATGTAAGTTTATTTTCTATTAACTTCTGGTTATGCATTTTCTTTCCGCCCTCATCTTGTGATTGTTTATTGATTATTTCATTTTATTTACAGTCAACCGTTTTACAATAAACGCGTATGACATGGAACATCTGTGTGCCTAAATCTGACAAAGTTGAATATGACGCATTTGTTGAAGAAGTCAAATACTAAAGAATCTGAAGCAACAGTGGCTTCATCGTCGACATTTACGGAAGAAGGCGACTCTGCAGCTGACGAAACGTTTGAGGGCTTGCCATCCTTAACCACGCTTAGACAAAAGCGTATCAACACAGAGACTGAGTTTGAATCATTGTTGACCAAAAGTCGAAATTTGATAAACGAGAAGGCTCGAAGATCGCAGCTGGCATGCCTAAAAACAGAGTTACATTTTAAACTGGCCGCCTATAATCAAATTATATCGAACACATTACCTCAAATTCGCAACGCAGAGTCGAAAGCTGCTTTCGAAGAATGCGTTCAGAAAGTGATATCTGAAGTTGAAGGTATGAACGATGAAATTGATAGTTACATCGACCGTGAACCTGAAATATCGTGCGTGGCTCCTGACGAAGGGAACTCTCAGATTTCAAGTGAAAGGATGGAAGAGGACAGCGATAATACAATAAATCTCCAGCCAGCGTGCGCCAAGCAGTCCGGTGGTGAAATGGGGGCGGCGACTGACCAACTTCGAGAATCTAGAGCACGAGAACACGACGATCGCCGAGAAACACCAACTCTTTTAAAGAGTCCCTTTATGAGCCACAGGTTCAATAACTTTGACGAACACGACGTGTTACAATCAACTCGAAGAAAAAGTGCCCGCTTCGAACCAGAGACTTTTACCGCGTCAGATAAACGTCGTGAATATACGATTTCTTACACTCCAAGACATTACCAAAATCCTTCACCAGCAAACCAAATGCCGTTGCCAGACCAATCGGTAGACTCCTGGATCGATAATCTCCAACCAAATCAAGCAGGATCCAGAACGGTAAATGATAACATTTCTCTAGCTGAGCAAACGTGTTTATCTTTGAGTTTAAATTCTAAAATGTGGGCTGAGCATCATTTGCCGCCGGTACAAATAAGTCCGTTTGATGGGAGTGCTATAAACTGGCCTAATTTCATTGAATTGTTTTATGAAAATGTTCATTCACGGTTAGACGATGATGGTCAACGCATGGTGAGATTGTCCGCGTATTTGTCGGGTTCGGCGAAGCGTCGTGTTGAGGGATTAGGTACCGCCGGTAGTCATTACATACTGGTTTTAAAGGAATTAAAACGCCGCTACGGACAGCCGGTACTGATCGCACGGGCGGTGCTTGACCGAGTTGTAAATGGAAAACGTATGTCGCCTCTTTCGGCCGATAGATTGCTAAATTTTCACTCAGACGTGCGTGACTGCGTGGTGAATCTCAAAAAGATGTGTTATTTGGCTGACATCAGTAGCGTCGAGAATGTAAGAAGGGTTTCAAGCAGGATTCCTCAAGAACTGAACTCGAGTTGGAATAAATTTGTTGTAGGTTTTATTCACAAAAACTCTAATCCGACATTAATTGACTTTGAGCAATGGTTGTGGGAAAGAACTGAAGAAATCGCCAATCCTTTTTCTCCAGATGTTACTTGCAATGTGATCAATAGAACTGATTTAACTGACCACGAGATGCCCAGAAGCGCTCGTCGCCGATTTCCGACTCCATTTTCAACGTTATCAAACTTGGAATCCGATTATACGTCATATAGTGACGCATCACGTTGTCAATTCTGCAATGCTCGCCATTCTTTGAGAAGTTGTGAGACGTTTTTCGGTGCGACCGATTATGTAAAACGTAACTTTGTTGTAGATTACAGACTTTGCTTTAAATGTCTTGAACCGGGCCATCGTGCATTTATGTGTAGATGTGATGTCGAGTGTAGTATATGCAATGGGAAACATCACAAATGTATTCATGGAATTCGCATGTTTGAAAGCGTCCCAAGACCAATAAACCGACAGGGTATAAACAATGCGGTGTCGGTAACAACTAGAGTTCATTTCAGTTGCTGCCTGTTCTGGTTAGAGGAGCTAATGGACGCTCCGAGTATACAGTTGCTTTGCTGGATTCGGCAAGTCAGGTCTCTCTCATTCATCCCAAACTTAAAACTAAATTGGATTTGCGTGGACGTCGTAAAAGGCTCATGTTAACCACCCTCGGAGGAACAGGGGTCTTGCATGACTCGGAAGCGGTCGAACTTTTTGTGCGTGACAAATTAAATCCCGACGGCGAAGAACTACATCTAAAGTCAGTTTTCGTATGTGGCACCAGAATTCCCCACCCTGAAAGAAGTCATAAAGTTTTTGAAACCTTCCATCATTTACGTGGATTATCACTTCCTGACATTAGAGAAAACGAAGTTATGTTGCTCATAGGTGCGGACCATCCATTTGCCCACTTTCAACTTGAAGACGTGTAGGGGGAGACAATGAACCGATTGCAATAAGAACACCACTCGGATGGACTTTGCTAGGCGCGAACAAACGCGCTTGTGAAGACGATTTAATTCATGCTAATTGTCATTTATTACACGATGATTACAATATCTTGCAACACCAAGTTAAGCAATTTTCGAGTACGGAAGCGATGGTAATGAGCTACAACACGAAGCGCGCCGAATCTGTGGAAGATCGCGTGGCTGCGAATGTGAATAGAGCTAAAACGTCTATTGTTGATGGGCATTATAAAGTCGGCTTTCTGTGGCGTCGCGATACTTCCATTATGTCGGGAGAACAGTCTTATTGCCCGTACGAGATGTAGGAATCCGAAAAAAACGACTGTTGGAAAATGACGGTCTGAGAGATGTGTACTGCACCTCTATGAGCAAAACATCAAACGTGATTGGGTGCGAGAGCTGACTGTTAAAGAACGTGATACTTTGGGTCCTCGAACTTGGTATCTTCCTCATCATGGAGTTGAGAATCCAAATAAACCTGGCAAGATACGAATAGTTTTGACGCCGCGGATACATATTGTGGAATCGGTTTGAATAATCAGATATATTCGGGACCTGATCTCATTAAGAATCTGATTGGAGTTTTATTGCGCTTCAGAACAAGATTGATTGCATTGAATGCTGATATTGAAGCCATGTATCACATGGTGCGTCTACCACAGTCGGACACGGATTCAGTCAGATTTTTCTTGCAAGGAAATCTGAGATCCACAACCCCGCCTGATGTGTATCAATTTCTAGTGAGAATATTTGGTGTGGTCGACTCGCTATACCTTGCAAAAACCGCGCTTGATAACACCGGGCAATTTTCAATGGAAGCAGTAGAAACGGTTTTTAGGGATTGCTACGTAGACGATTTGCTTTCATCAGAATGTAATGGTGACTCCGCTTTTTCCGACGCTCAAGAAAATTCTAATATATTAGCAAGCAGGAGTTTTCCGATTGAAAAAATGGCTTTCAAATTCAAAACATTATTGTCGAAATTTAACACAGGGGATTGTCGTAATCCTGACGTTGAATCAAATTTTGATTATGTGCCCAGTTATAAGGCGCTGGGACTTCATTGGAACACTAATGACGACGATTTCTACATTGTTTACAAAGATGATTTGAAATGGGACAAAAACTTAGATAACCTCAGGAAGAATGCTCGGGAAGAGTGGACCGAATCATTAAAACAATTGACTAATTTCCATGTGCCTAGACAATATTTAGGCGCCTCGAAAACCGCTATTTATGAGATTTGCGATGCGTCTGAACAAGCTTACGTCGCAGTGGCTCACTTGCGTGCCAAGAAATGTCAATGTGTGAATTATAGTTTGTCGATGGCCAAATCAATTGTTTCTCCGATGAAATTTATGTCCGTTTCCAAATTAGAGCTGCAAAGTGCTTTATTAGCCGCGCCCGATATTATAAACAGTCGTCCTTTTCTATTAGCGACAACGTACGTGATCCAGCTCCCCTCACGCCTAAATACACCTTTGGATCAACAGCGCATCAGAGAAGATGGAGACAAACCGAAGCAATTTCGAATCGCTTTTGGAAGCGCTGGCGACGAACGTATGTACCAATGCTGATGACTCGAACAAAGTGGAAAAAAGAGGAATTTATTGATGATGATATCGTAATTGCTGTAGATGACGACGTGCCAAGAAGTCGTTGGTTACTAGGAAGAGTTACTTTTAACCGTGTGTGTGTAACTACCGTCAAAACAGCAGGTGTGAAAATAACCAGACTGGTGACGAAACTATGCCTCCTGGAAAATGAATAACCCCTTGGAGGGTTATTGGGGGCGGCTGTGTCGGCGATAGAAGTTTCTTTCAGTTGATAATATTTTGAACGCTGTTCTTCTTTGTGTTCCGACCTGCTAATTTTTATCGATAATTGCTTTTCTGTTTTGACGCGAGTTTCGCGGGCTTTACTGCATCTGACGTGTCACGCGTGGCTCTTGCATCTCGACTTTACGCGTCGTAGGACGTTCTCGTTTAATCTTGTTATGATGTTAGTGGTGTGGTTTCGCATTATCCGCTTTATTGACTTAGCGTGTGGGTGGCTTTTGGTCTCGTTAGGTAGACCTGTGGTGAAGGTATCGTAACCGGGGCCCCATATGACCATCGTCGTCATTTATTGCTTTAATTGTTCATGTATTTTATATTTCATTCTTATTAACTGCTTCCTAAATTTAGTTGCTATTTTTATGCCAATAACGTCATCGTTCACGTTTCCTGTCAGTTTCTTGTCGATTTAGGCCTTTGGAGCGTTATCATATGTAAGTTTATTTTCTATTAACTTCTGGTTATGCATTTTCTTTCCGCCCTCATCTTGTGATTGTTTATTGATTATTTCATTTTATTTACAGTCAACCGTTTCACAATAAACGCGTATGACATGGAACATCTGTGTGCCTAAATCTGACAGCCGGTCTTAAAACGGTGAAAATACATTCATCAGAAGTTCTACTTCACCAAATAAAATTTGACTTGTTTTACACGCATTAAAGAATTTCTCCTTTCTTCACAGAGAACTAACAACCAAAAACATTGTATTATACCAAATACATGCCAATAAAGAAACTAAATATTAGGATAAAAATGTTTTGACTTGGAAAAATAATTTGAGATATAGATAAAAAAAAAACTATCATTAAAACTACTTGAATCAAGAGTAGAGAAAAATATCATGAATTGGCCCATTTTTTTTATAGTCAACCTAGAAGGAGTGCATTGCAATTCCTGTTTCATCCATCGTCACACCACCGCATGACATTTCTATAGCATTCATTATTGTTTTGTTTATTTGTAGATTCTGGAGGTATAATGCACATATCATATTTTCAGAGACATGTACATAGACCAATAAAAGTGTTTTGTCTTGTTGTCAGTTTACCTGTCTCCATCACAGAGCAAATTGCCGTTCTGCTACACATCAAGTATGCAGTTTCGCAGATCCCAAAATGAATCTCCAGGTCCTTTTTTTTTAATTTTGTATGGAACCTGCCTAATAAGTTGTAATACATTTCAGGATTTCTGTATGTGTCTATTTCAATTTTTTGTTACAATCCTTTTTTTTTGCAACGAAATATTTTTTGGGTTCCACTCGTACCCTTCATATGGCTTGCTTAAACATCTCTGGAAGGCGATTTTCGCCATGGTGATCTACATGGAAATACCGATACTTTGATTCACTTCTCACGGCAACTAAGATAAACCAATATAAAGTTTTATCAATATAACTTTCAAATCCTGAAAATGATACTGAGAATTTTAACATTTAAATTCTAAGCCATCTTGAAATAGTATTAGATTGGATGCCTGAATTCATAAATCAACATTCCAATTTGTAACCTCTCACTAAAGACTACCTACGTATACATATTTGGACGTTTGTTTGAATGAATAAAGTCCATCGACAAGTTCCCTTGCATGTTCCTGTCAAAGAGTGTAGGCCTACTTCATATTAGCGCACACGCCGTGTGGACACCTAAATAAACGATGCCACCTAGGTGAAGAAAGATCTATCGTTTAGGCTCAGTAAGAATCTGCTATTAAAAATTCTTGAGTACTTACTACAAAGGCTTTCAAAAAGCTGATCACCTTTATCACATGACCCGTTATGCACATATTTCATGTATACTGAACATCATAGACTTCGAGAGCAGCTTCATTATGTCTTAGTTTTTCAATTTTGTTCAATATATTTCTATTTATTCTGATATATAAAAATATATGATATGAATATTTCTATATAAAATTGTACCGCCGCATTTCTTTATGATCTTGTACGTTTTTGGATGTATTTCTTTGAAAAGTACTGAATCATGCAATCGGTTCATAGTATATTCTTCATTTCCCACGTCACTTAATCCAAGTCTACCACGCAGGTCCTTCAGTTTCGCAAAACTGAAAGTCCCAATATTTTTTTAGAGTTCTTTTCTTTTTTTTACATGATACTGGAACTACGCTCTGAGAACAATGATATCACAACAAATCGTACTTATCTCAAAAACTGGAAAAGACGACTCATTTACAAATGATCCTGCGCTCGACTCATCTTTTATCAACGATTGCATTGCGATCCTGCAAACAAAATCCTTGATATATTATTATGGATATAAAAACAAATACAGATCATACATACCCTACATTCCACGTTAATGTATCTCTGGTCATCGGGTACTTTGACCAAGATCTTTTGCAATAAACTTCATGTTCTTGGGGGATAAAACTTTATAGATATTTTGCTAAAATATCATTTATATTTAGCATTGAAGTTATTACTAGCAAGAAGAAAAAAGGCAATGAATTACACTAAGTCAAAATCTGAAAAGATGCCAATATTCCTAACTTTCACAGTGCAGACTTACCTAGTCAAACGCACAATGCACTTGTTATATTGCAATCATATCGCTGCTGTAGAACAAGAGAGACTTATGTCCCATTTTGACACTCTGAGTAGTGGCCTTTGAAGTTCTTTTCGGAAGTAAATTTGGGTCTCATGTAGTTTCGTACCTAACATACTTCTAGTGGGCGTAGCATGACAATTTTTTCACGTATCAATCCCAACCCCCGCCTGACTACAACATCCAAAAATTACGTCATTACGACGTCACAGTGACGTAATAGAGCCATTCAAACTATACGAACTGCCATCCAAGATGCGCAAACAAGCACCCGAAATCGAACAGTTATTTTTCTCGTTTTCTCGTCGCAACGATTCCAATAGGAGAGAGATCGATAACGTCAGTGAGTTCTTTATCGTCGGCGCCAATGACCTCTGTGAAGCTAACAGCAAAACACGAAATTGTGACTGACAGAATTGGAGAAAATACCCACGCGTAAAACTAAATGTTCCCAATGATTTTTAAAAGAAAGTGTATATTTTGATTAGTTTTACAATAGCAAATAAAGCAAAACAATCATTAACTACACTACTCGTATTGTGAATTTATAGTAAACAAGCTAAAGCGACTGTTACAGTGCATAAAATTTTTTTATACTTCTTTGAGAGATTTTAAAAATAACTGAATTTTCGTCGTGTAACATGGTCGTTTCATGAAAACCTCCAATAAAGGCAGCATTGCAACACCATTGGTAAAAAGTAGAAACCTCAAAGATTCGATTTCAATATGTCAGAACAGTCTCAGCACGTTTTGACTTGGCCATATATAATACTAAACATAGCGTATAATTTTCAATTTTATGCACAATGTATATAGGTTACAACAAATTTGAAACTGATTTTGTATTTCAACTAAATTGACTGGATAGTTCATCAAAGAAGTTCTCTTTGTCACACAACAATAATGCACTTCATTAAACTTAGAATAAAGAGAAGAAAGTCTAAAATACCAAAAAAAATTTACGCCCTCTTGTGGATTCTTTAACAAATTTCACAAAATTATTGTTTTTGAAAGGGCGATTTCTCAAAAACCGCCAATAAAGGCAGCACTACGACACATTCGGAGAAAAGCAGATACCTTATAGATTTGATTTCATTATGTCAGAACAATAGCAGCACGTTTTGACTTGGCCATATATAATACCAAACATAGCGTGTATTAAAAATTTTATAAACAATGCAGACTTAACATATTTAAAAACGGTTTGGTATTTCAACTAAATTTACTAAATAATTTATCAAACATCTTTTTCTCTTGGACATACATATATACTGTACGTCCATTAAACTTGGAATGAGTTGCGGGAAGTATGAAATACCAATAAATCATTTTACGACCTCTTGTTGATTATTTTCAAATTTTCGAAAAATTATCCTTTTTGAAATAGCGATTTCTCAAAAACCGCCAATAAAGGCAGCACTACGACACATTCGGAGAAAAGCAGATACCTTATAGATTTGATTTCATTTTGTCAGAACAATAGCAGCACATTTTGACTTGGCCATATATAATACCAAACATAGCATGTATTCAAAATGTTATAAACAATGCAGACGTAACATATTTAAAAACCGTTTGCTATTTCAACTAATTTACTAGATAATTTATCAAACATCTTTTTCTTTTGGACATACATATATTCTGTACGTCCATCAAACTTGGAATGAGTTGCGGAAAGTATGAAATAACAAAAAATTATTTTACGCCCTTTTGTGGATTTTTTTCGGAATTTCAAATAAATATCGTTTTTGAAACGGCGATTTCTAAAAAACCGCCAATAAAGGCAGCACTACGACACATTCGGAGAAAATCAGATACCTTATAGATTTGATTTCATTATGTCAGAACAGTAGCAGCACGTTTTGACTTGGCCATATATGATACCAAACATAGCGTGTATTCAAAATGTTATAAACAATGCAGACATAACATTTTTAAAAAGTGATTTGCATTTCAACTAAATTTACGAAATCATTCATCAAATACTTTTATCTTTTAATAATACATCAAAACTGTACGTTCATTAAACTTGGAATAAGTGGGCAAATCTTAAAATAACAAATCATGATTTTAAGCCCTCCTGTGGATAATTTCAGAATTTCAAAAATATATCGTTTTTTAAGGGGCGATTTCTCGAAAACCGCCAATAAAGGCAACATCACGACATATTCCGAGAAAATCAGATACATTATAGATTCGATTTTATTGTGTCAGGACAGTAGCAGCACGTTTTGACTCGGCCATATATAATACCAAACATAGCGTGTATTCAAAATGTTATAAACAATGCAGACGTAACATATTTAAAAAGGGGTTGTATTTCAATAAATTTGCTGGATTATTATCAAATATATTTTTCTCGTTGTCGCACATCAATATGTCCATTAAACTTAGAATAAGTTTCAGGAAGTATAAAATAATAAAAAACATTTTACGCACCCTCGTGAATTTGTTTTAAAATTTCGAAAATTATTTTTTTATGGAGTGGCGATTTCCCGAAAACCGTCAATAAAGGCAACATCACGACACATTCGGAGAAAAGCACATACTTTATAGATTCGATTTTATCATGTCAGAACAGTAGCAGCACGTTTTGACTTGGTCCTATATAACACCAAACTTAGCTTATATTCTTCAATTTTATAAACATAGTAAAAGTATAACAATTTGAAAAGGGTTTGAGTTTCAACCAAATTTGCTGGATAATTTATTAATCTTTTTTTTTCTTTGTCGCACATTATTACTGTACGTCAAAACTTGGAATGGGTGGCGGAAAGAATAAAAAACCAAAACTCATTTAAGCCCTCTGGTGGATTTTTTTTACTTTTAAAAAATCAATCGTGTTTGAAATAGCGATTTCTCGAAAACCGCCAATTAAGGCAGCACTACGACACATTCGAAGAAAAGCAAATACCTTGTAGATTCGATTCCACTATACCAGAACAGTAGTAGCACGTTTTGACTTGGCCATATATAATGCCAAACATAGCGTATATTCCCAATTATTTGAATAGCGTAGATGTTCACACATTCTAAAAAGGTTCGGTATTTCAAATACCGAACTATTTCAAATTCACCTATTTCATTTTCTTACTTAATCAAACACCGATACTGTGTGTTAATTATACTTGGAATAATTTGCAAATTGATTTGGCCATATATATCATCAAACATAGAGTATATTCTTCAATTTTTGAATAGTGCTAACGTTAAAAATTCATAAAGCTGTCGTATTTTAAACAAATTTACTGAATACTTGTTCAAATATAATTTTTTCTCAGTCACACACTAATACTGGACAAGGCGAAAAATATATTTGATCAATTATCCAGCAAATTAAGTTGAAATACAAACTTTTTAAATTCGTTACGTCCATTTTGATGTAAAATTTTGAAAACACGCCATGTTTGGTATATGACCAGCAAGTCAAAACGTGCTGTTACTGTTCTGGTATAGTAAAGTCGAATATGTAAGGTATATGATTTTCTCCAAATGTGTCGTGGTTCTGCCTTTATTGGCAGTTTTTGAGAAATCGCCATTCCAAAAACGATAATTTTTGAAATTTTGAAAATAATCCACAAGAGGGTGTAAAATAATATCTCGATATTTTATACTTTCCGCAACTTATTCCAACTTTAATGAACGTACAGTATTGATGTGTTAGCAAGACAAAGAAAGTTTGATAAATTATCTAGTAAATTTAGTTTAAATATAAAACTCTTTTTAAATATGTTATGTCTGCATTGTTTTTTGAAATTTTGAATACACGCTATGTTTGGTAATATTTATGGTCAAATCAAAACGAGCTGCTACTGTTCTGGTTCAGTCAAATCGAATATTCAATGTATCTGATATTCGCCTAAAGTGTCGTAATGCTGCCTTTATTGGCGGTTTTCAAGAAATCGCCCTTTTAAAAACGATAATTTTTGGAAATTTAAAAACGGCATGTTTGGGAAATTAAAATAATATTATATAGGTCGTAAGACATATTTTCATTGTTTTATACAATTTGCAACTTATTCCAAGTTTTTGTGTGTTTGAAAAAGTAAGAAAACGGAATATTACGTTATTAGGTGAATTTATTTGAAATACCAAATCTTTTTAAAATATGTGAACATCTACGCTATTTAAATAATTGAGAATATGCGCTATATTTGATATTATATATTAGGGTGACCATACGTTCTCCTTTTTCGGTAAAAATTTTATGTCCTCCGAGGACGCTCTAAAAGGTCAAAATGTCCTCCTTTTTCAAGGGATTAAATATTTAAAATTTATTCACGACATATTCAATATTTTTTGATGGGTTAAAAAAATTTAGTAAGTTTGCATTAATACAAAATAGGTTGGAAATACGTTAGTTAGATTGGTATGACAAACCTTGAGGTTTAACAGTTATTTCGTGCTCAACATCTCATTTCTAATCTACTAAAAAATTATAGCTCAGTTTTACGACCAGGTTGAATGTAGGATATAGTGTATATAAATTGATATAGGTTCAAGACGTTTTTAGTTTCACCAACGACTAACATACCGGTTTCACTAAGTAAAACTATGCGTCAGTGTGAACGGGCCCTAATACATTTGTTGCAACAAATATTCCATTAGAGCTTTGCTAAATTATCATCCGTTCTGGACGGCCTCAAAGTAACGCTAAGTCATAAGGTAGAATCCACATTCGAATGCTGTTTGAGAAATGATTGAGCTAACAACATTTTTGAGGTGTCGTATCATCTTCCCGATCTCGAAAGTGCAATTTTTATACAACAAAAGATTATTGCTGCCAGCATCATTGTGACACAACAGTGACTATTTCCACGCTGCATATTAATATCTAAGATTACACCACAATTATCATTTTCTAAAACCATTCACAAAACTAGCTTCTCTATTGTGAAGTTCTAATTGCGCTCCTAATTCCGGTATTTCAGTATCCTGATATCACAAGCGGTTGGAGCGCATATCCCACAGAGCACGGCGCGTTGGCAGAATCTCATGGTCTAGTGAGAATAACGTCATCGGAAACACCGAGCTCATTAAAATTTTAATGAACGATTATCAAAAATCTTGACCATGTTTATCATGATGAAAATATCAAAAAAGATGTAAAAAATATTCTATCCTCAAAACTGCTCACGTATACAATGAAAGATATCTAGAAATTTACAAAAAATGCAAATTTCTGCTCTGGTGATCACATTCCCCATAAGAGCTAATGTTAATTTTTTTTTTTATATCACTTTTCTTTTTGCGCGTAGGATGGGTTTTTAATGAATAAGGTCTATTATGTCAGTAGACCCAGTACATTATGCCGGAAAGAAAAACCTAATCTAATTGATAGTGAAGCGGGGTGCATTACTTGCGGCTACAGTTGCTCGTTGACAAAACAAGAATGCATTATTGCATTGTTGTTACTTCGTCTATTGTTATTTCTATTTTTAATCCTAAAGTTTCTAGAGCACAGATCTGTTAAGATTTTTTTCAAATTTTTTCTTTTTAAAAGTTCACTTGCTATGAAAACTCAAGAAGCAATTCTTCTCTTTTGTGAGGCACAAGAAGCCGTTGCACTTGTTGCATTTAACTCTACTTCTTCCATTGCAACCCTCGTATTTGCATCTCTGGCCTAATCCATTGATGCAAGATGGAAAATGCATAAAACCATCATATCTAACATCTCCAACAGGTCGCTCTGATGATTTGCGCCTCTTAGCCAAATGTGGCACTTGTATTTCTGTTTGAACTTGTTGTGAAGTAGAACGCGGTCTTCCGACACTGGGACTCTTCACCAACGCCGTGGTAAACACGTTAGCTTTGAGCAAAGCAAATGCAACCTCGCTTCTGTATTCCAGTAGGTCCATGATGCGTGACCTTGGAGTTCCATTTGCTCGTTCAATATCGCGATATTCTAGCCACGAGTTCGCTAGCGCAAAATCCATGAAGTGGAAAATTACTCTAACTGGCCACTTCTTTGTTTTAGCTTTGGTCCTGTACAGCGAAATGAGGAAATCTAGTTTATCGACTCCTCCCATATTATCGTTGTACACCTGAACACATTTTGACCTTTCTACAATGATGTGTTCTTTTGTGCTGGCTCTCCACCCTCGCACCTGATCCTCTTCGTCAACGTCAGCGAAGCTTGAAGCAAGTGTTACAGCGCCATTATCCATCCAACGGACTACACAAATATCACCTTTGTCTGATACCTTGTAATCGATTGCACCTCTTCCTTTCTTCTTGAGGTCTTTTTCAGATTTTAGTTCACACCCCATCAGTCGATTGCTTTTAACAACTCCAAGTGAATGAATGCCTCTTGATTTTAATTCTCTTATCAGTGGAATTCCGGTGAAATAATTGTCAAAACAAATTTTGCAGTTCTTTTGTTTTGGTATGGCCTCCACCAAGCGTAGAACCACAGATGCACCAAGACCAAGATGCTTAGTTCCTGTGCCGGCAGCTTGATAAATTTCAAAATCGACTGCTCGCCCAGATTTACCACAAATAACAAAATTCTTGAGACCAACAGGATTGGGTTTACCTTTGACGAATTGTTTAGCAGGTACTCTACCAGTGAAAGGAATCATTTGCTCATCAACCGCATTGAATTCCTCACGAGGCAACTGGATGCAACGATTTCGAACTGCATTAATAACTGGCTTCACCTTCCAAAACTTACAATTTTCTCCAGTAGGAGGTTGTCTAGCCGCATTCACGTGTAAGCTATTACGAAGCAGGAAGTATCTATTAACGGGCATGGATTCAGCAATCTTGTCAACACGATTCACTTTTTGCCAATACATCCGAAGTCGTGGGAAACCCAAGTTAGCCATCAAAATCGACGCCCCAAAAAAAGCGACATATTTCGACTGAATTGGTACCAAGAATTCTGCCCTTTGCTTGCAAGTGATAAATATTTGTTTGATCCGCAAAAAGTTGAAATAGTTGTGGTTGAAAGTAGTTGAAAAAATATTTTGCAGGTGTATCTAGAGTATCAGCAGCAATTGGCCTTTCCTGCCATGTCAGAAATCCAGGCTGAAATGGATTTCTATCTGGCGAATGCCACTTTATTTTGAACTTTTTCTCCTGTTGCTTACTACTGTTTACAGCATCAGCTGGCTCCTCACTTTCTTCCACGTCTTCATTGCGGGTCGAAACTACCAGTCTGTTATTGATACTGTAGGAATTTGAATCGTATTCTTCTTCCATATCTTCTTCGGATCCAGAAAGGTCGATGTCAGACTCATCTAGTCAATCTAACACCTCTTCTGCATTCAATATCTCCTGCCTCACCACTAAAACAAAACATTTTTCATTGCCAGGGTTGGTATAACACTTGCTACTTTACAGCCTGGAAGAACATTTTAGCTTCAGTACTATTAAAGTATACCTTTAAAAATTAAAGCTTTTACTATTGCTATATACGCTTATTATCTCCCAATCACTGTTCTTTAAAACTGAGACCTTGATTTACATTACCCTAAGCTGTACTGCACTACCATAAAAATACCAAGTTAGGCTACAGTTTGGGATAATTTTAACATGAAATTTTCTGCTATAATCAATATAATAGAGAGACTTCCGATAACAGAACTTTCAATAACACTGCAACACATGATTGTGAACTTTCCTGGTAAAATTTAAGGCCCTAAAAACATATAAAACAAAGTGATTTATTTCATGAAAGTCTGTGCTTTTTACTCATGTTAGTCACGAAAGGTACAATTGTACACACCAATTTTTGAAAAATTCTACCATCTACATATTAGCTCAACCGAAACCAAAAACTGGATAAACGTCACCCCAAGTAGTCCTAATTGCAGTCTAAACCTAATTTATTGGCTCTACACACAAGAAAATGGTAAAAAAATTACACCAACTTACCGCTTGTTGAGCATGCTTCAGCCATCGCAATTTCCACGCTGCCAGACGACTTACCACTAGGGGGAGACATAAAACCAAACTCATAGCGCGATAGAACCGAGAAAGCTCAATTGAACACACCGTGACTAATTTCGGTTAGGTGTATTACGTGTGCTATAGCGACCGCGGAAAGTCGCTGGTACAATTGTACACGCCGTGACCGAAGGGGATAAAAGGTATCTGCGTTTCTTCGAATGTGTCGTAATGCTGCCTTTATTGGCGGTTTTTGAGATGATCTTTTAAAAACGATAATTTTTGGAAATTTTGAAAATAGTCCACTAGAGGGCATAAAATGTTTTTCCAGTATTTTATACTTTCCGAATTAATTCATAGTTTAATAGACGTACAGTATTAATTTGTGATAAAAATAAAATATATTTGATCAATTATCCAGCAAATTTAGTTGAAATGCAACATCTTTTAAAATTTGTTACGTCCATGTTGGTGTAAAATTTTGAAAACACGCTATTTTTGTTATTATATATGGTCAAGTCAAAACGTGCTGCTACTGTTTTGGTATAGTCAAATATATTCTATAAAGTATCTTATTTTCTCCGAATGTGTCGCAGTGCTGCCTTTATTGGCAGTTTTCGAGAAATAGCCATTTTGTAAACGATATTTGGTTGAAATTTTTGAAAGAATCCACTAGAGGTCGTAAATGTTTTTTTGTTGTTTTATACTTCTCGCAACGTATTCCAAGTCCCAAGTCCAAGTTCTGGTTTGGTGAAATCGAATCTTTAATGTATCTGCTATTCGCCGAAAGTGTCGTATTGTTGCCTCTATTGGCAGATTTTGAGAAATCGTCACACCAAAAACGGCATGTTTGGGAAATTGAAAAAAAATTATATATATAGGTTGTAAGACATTTTTCATTGTTTTATACAATTTGCAACTTATTCCAAGTTTAATTAACACACAGTATCGGTGTTTGAAAAAGTAAGAAAACGGAATAATACGTTATTAGGTGAGTTTATTTGAAATACCAAACATTTTTAAAATATGTGAACATCTACGCTATTTAAATATTCCAGAATATACGCTATGTTTGGTATTATAAATGGCCAAGTCAAAACGTGCTGCTACTGTTACGGTATAGTGAAGTCGAATCTATAAGGTATGTGCTTTACTCTGAATGTGTCGTGATGCTGCCTTAATTGGCGGTTTTTGAGAAATCACCACTTCAAAAACGATAATTTTCGAGATTCTCAAACTAATTCACGAGGGTGCGCAAAATTTTTTTTTTGTTGTTACTTTATACTTTCTGAAACTTATTCTAAGTTTGATAGACGTACAGTATTGATGTGTGACAAGGAGAAAAATATATTTGATCAATTATCCTGCAACTTTAGTTGAAATACAAACCCTTTTTTAATATGTTACGTACCGTTGTTTTAAAAATTGAAGAATATACGCTATGTTTGGTATTATATATGGCCAAGTCAAAACGTGCTGCTACTTTTCTGGCATAAAATCGAATCTATAATGTATGTGCTTTTATCCGAATATGTCGTAGTGCTGTCTTTATTGGCGGGTTTCGAAAAATCGCCCTTTCAAGAACGATTATTTTTCGAAATTCAGAAAAGAACCCACTAGAGGGCGTAAAATGTTTTTTTTTTTCAATATTTCAAACTTTCCCAATTAATTCTTAGTTTAGACGTACAGTATTCATTTGTGACAAAGAGAAAAATATATTTGATCAATTATCTAGCCACTTCAGTTGAAATACAAATCCATCTTAAATTTGTTACGTCGACATTGTTTATAAAACTGAGAATACACGCTATGTTTGGTATTATATATGGCCAAGTAAAAACATGCTGCTACTGTTTTGGAATAGTGAAATCGAATCTATAAGGTATCTACTCTTCTCCGAATGTGTCGTAGTGCTGCCTTTATTGGCGGTTACCGAGAAATCGCCCTTCCAAAATCGATAATTTTTCGAAATTCTGAAAACAATCCACGAGAGGCCTTAAAATGTTTTTTTTTGGTATTCATACTTTCCGCAACTCATTCTAAGTTTAATAGACGTACAGTATTAATGTGTGACAAAGAGAAAAATATATATTATATCAATTGTTCAGCAAATTTAGTTGGCATACTATTCCTTTTTAAATTTGTTTCGTCCACATTGTTCATAAAATTGAAGAATATACGCTATGTTTGGTATTATATATGGTCAAGCAAAAACGTGCTGCTACTGTTCTGTTATAAAAAAAATCGAATTGATAGGGTATCTGCTTTTCTCCAAATGTGTCGTGGTGCTGCCTTTATTGGCGGTTTTCGAGGAATCGAGGTTCCAAAAAGGATAATTTTTCGAAACTTTATATTTGCGGAATACCTGAAAATTCATTTTTCGCTCAGTTGGTCTTTTTTTAAACACTATTTTCTTGTTAAATTCAATTTATTCATTCAGTTTAAAGAATTTTCATGTATTTCCGTGCTAAAATTATATTTTGATCAGCCTTTCCAATTTTCATATGTAACTAAACGTGAACACTATATGCGCGTGGAACCTATATTCAATGTGTAAAAATATTCTGGCTGAAAGTGCTGCTAGCTTCACAGTGGTGCGCCAATGTCATGATTGTGATGTCGTAGTGATTTAATTTTTGGATGGCGTACTCAGATGGGGGTTAGGATCGACATATCAAAAAATTGTTATGCTACGCCAGGGGTGGGCAACATACGGCCCGCGGGCCGGCCCGCGACAAGATTTTGACCGGCCCGCTGACTGTACCCAACCACACTCTGTAATGTGGTCCGACGCATCATTCTTGAAAGTTGCCCATCGCTCTATTCTCACCGCACTGTCAGTGCGAGCTGGTGAAATAAACAATTGCCGGACCTTCTGAAGTATGCGCACCAAGATGGCGCACAACCTAAACTCAGGTTATGTACCAGGTTAGGGTTCAGGTTATGCGACATCTTGGTGCGCATACTTCAGGTGCACCCAATCGCCTTAATGAACAAACAATTGCGTTAGCACACTTGTTAAACAAACTATATAAGGTCAAAGCAGAGAGCGTTGTAAAGATTCCCCACCACTGTTATCAGTTATATTTAGATTTCAAATATAAATATATTTTAGGAATTAAATTTCATATTAAGTTTTATTAACCATGGAATATCCCAAAAAACGTAAAGTTAACAGAGAGTTTAACAAAGATTGGATACCAAAGTATTTTTTGTAATAAACCGGCCCGCCGAGGACTTCATTTTCCCAAACCTGGCCCGCCGACTAGAGAAGTTGCCCACCCCTGTGCTACGCTCACTAGAAGTACGTTAGGTACGGTAAACACTGAACACTATTATATGGAGCATTTTATAATATGAATATGATAATAATATGATAATAGCGTGCATACAAGTAGCCAAGACGAACTGTATCAACTATTCTGAGCTCTCTCATTCCACAATATATCTCTTTTCTATTGTCGTCATCGGTTACGTCTGGTGCCCCATGCCCACAATTCTAAAGTTTTTTATCCTAATAGTGATTAGTTGGCAAAGACGGCAGATTTGTAGTTGACATCATTGTAGCCATATTTGGAGAACATCATGTCTGGATGGTCTTTGATGAATTTTATTTGCAATAATTTGGACCAATACACTTTGTTTGCGTCATTGTTCCCATCTGGTTGGTGATCAAGAATGTCTTCTTTCAAAACATCGGAAGGGCCTCTGCATTTTTAAAAGCAATGAAGTCATCATGATTTAGTATATTTACCTCTATTATAGTTGAAGCGAAGGACGTGCGTATCGCAGACTCTCACTGGGCAGTAGTGTATACCAGTGTTGTGTGAGATTCAATGATTGAGTGTGTTGTGTCATTCTCGTTTTGAGAGTGCCCGGTTATCAACTAGTTCATTGTTATTCCATC